GAATCATTATGTGAAGGCCCATTCCACATAAGGAATGAACAAGTTGGAGGCCCCTCCACATAAGAAATCAATATGGAGATCCTTGCACATAAGGAATCAACATGTGGAGGTCCCTCCACAGACGGAATCAACATGTGGAGATCCCTTCAACAGAAGGAAACAATATGTGGAGGATCCCCCACAGGAGGAATCAGGCCCTTTCCACATAAGGATTCAACGAGTGGGAGGCCCCTCCACACAAGATATCATTATGGGGGCCCCTTGCACATATGGAATCATTATGTGGAGGTCCCTCCACAAATGGAATCAATATGTGGAGGCCCCTACACATAAGGCATCGATGTTTGAAGGCACTTCCACATAAGGAATTAATACGTGCACGCCCCTTCACATAAAGAGATAATATGTGAAGGCCCCTTCCACATAAAGAATCTACGAGTGGGAGGCCCCTCCACAAAAGAAATCAATATGGAGACCCCTTGCACATAGGGAATCAATATGTGGAGGTCCCTCCACAAACGGAATCAACATGTGGAGGTCCCGTCCACATAAGGAATCAAAATGTGGAGGATCCCCCACAAAAGGAAACAACACCATCTTTCTCCTCCTCAGTTTTCTCATTCTCCTCCTTCCCGAAAAAGAGGGGAAACAGAACAAAGGAAACAAACTTATGTGTTCACATGGAGAACGAGGAAAAGACTCCGCCTCAGAGGGCGGGGAGGGGGAAACAGGAAAAAAACTCCCTGCCCTTGTCTGTGTTCCCCAATTTGGGGAGACGGAGGAGGAGGAGGGGGAGGGGGGGAGAGGGATAGGCGGAGGAGACGGAGGAGGGTGTTTTTTATTTGTGTTCCTCCTCCCCGCCCTCGGAGGCGGAGTTGTTGTTTTTTTTTCTTTGTGAAAACACAGGTTGTTTCTTATGTTTCCTTTGTTTCCTCTTTTTCGCTCTCCCGTTCGGCCCCTCGGGGTTTCCTCGCCGCCCCAGGGGGGGCCCGAAAAAAGAGAAAAAACGGAAACATCAGAAACATGTTGTGTTTTCACAAGGAAAAAGAG